TTTTTAGGTCATCCTGACCATCAAACACTGAGTCATGGTTCTCTCAGAAAAAACTCACAACAAATCAATAAGTGAGCAAACTTGGGGCATCAAGAGCATCTTCGTCTACTGCAATCATGGCATCTTCAACAAACTGAGTGTCGGAAATTAATCCCTCCCATCACCCGAAGTCTAATCCGCATTGGCAACTACCAAAATTCCATCATGTTGGCACCTTCACTAAACATATTCAATCACCCGTCTGCGATCATATGCATCAGACGCATCATTTGCATCATAAGCATCACTTGCATCATATGCATACAAAAAACCAAATCACAATTCCCTAACACTTACATCTCCGCCCGTTAGCATTTGTATTGCATTTCCATTTGATATGGAATATCATTACAAAACCAAGCATTCATACATAGTCAAGATCTAGTATCAATCGCGAGATTCCAACGATCTTCAGCCCATGCAGGGGCATTTTCTTCAAGTCTGTGGGCGTTCCTCACAAAGTTGTTTCAACCTTTTGTTGATCAAGACAAGATTTCAAGACGATTGTTAGCCTAGCCAGGGGCATCTTCTCCAAGCTCATGGGTGTTCCTCATGAAGTTACCTCAACCTTTTGTCGATGAAGTTGTGATCTCCAAGCAAGTCAGTGGACGTTCCTCATTGAGTTGTGCTTCTCAACCTTTTGTTGATGAAGTTGTCATCCCCAGCTCAACCAGTAACATGTCTCCGAGTCAATGGGAGTTCCCTATTGAATTGGTTCTCTTCAACCTTTTGTTGATGGAGTTGTTATCGTCAGACTAATCAGTGTTTTCCCTTCGAACAAAATTCAACCCTCCTCTTGGGCGTTCCCTAGTGAATTGGCTCTTCTCAACCTTTTTTGACAAGGAGGGTGTTCCTCAGTGACTTCTTTGCTTCAACCTTTTTTTTTCATCTCCGAAAAAATCTCTTACATCCAGCAAACTTGACCTTTTGTCAATAACCTTACTATCATCCTTTTGGTGGTAGACAAACTTTGTCAATTCAACCTGACCTTCATCCTTTTGGTGTTGGAAATTTTCAAAATCAAAATTTACTATCATCCTTTTGGTGGTAGCCATTCATGTCATTTCAATTTAACCTTCATCCTTTTGGTGTTGGCCCTCGAAATTAGGAAGTTCCTATCATCCTTTTGGTGGTAGCAACTTGTGTTATTTGACCTTACTGTCATCCTTTTGGTGCCGGCGATCCGTGAATCTTTGGTCTGTATATTATCCTTTTGGTGAATGACATACTTTGATATCGTTTTTCTTACTATTATCCTTTTGGTAGTAGTAAGTTATGACCTCACTTTCATCCTTTTGGTGAAGGGTCGTTGTGTGTGTGTTTTCTATCATTCATTTGGTGATAGACCTGTCATCCTTTTGGTGTCGGGAATCTGTATGTTCTTACTATTATCCTTTTGATAGTAGTAAGTTGTGACCTCACTTTCATCCTTTGTTGAAGGGTCACTGCGTGAGCATCCACTATCATCCTTTGGTGATAAGTCTGTCATCCTTTTGGTTCCAGATATCTTGGTGTGAATATGTTCTCTATCATCCTTTTGGTGATAGGCCCGTCATCCTTTTGGTGTCGGGGTCTATCATTCTTTTGGTGATAGGTTTGTCATCCTTTTGGTGCCGATAGTTTGCGTATCTTTGGTTTGTGAATCATCCTTTTGGTGAATGACAACCTCTGATACAAGTGTGTACTTACTATTATCCTTTTGGTAATAGCAAGTTTCGACCTCACTTTCATCCTTTTGGTGAAGCGTCGTTGTGTGTGTTCTCTATCATCCTTTTGGTGGTAGGTCCATCATCCTTTTGGTGTCGGAGTCGTGTGTTTTCTATCATCCTTTTGGTGATATACCCGTCATCCTTTTGGTGTCGGAGTCATGTGAGAGTGTTTCACTATCATCCTTCTGGTGATAGATCCATCATCCTTTTGGTGTCGGAGTTGCATGTGTCTTCTATCATCCTTTTGGTGATAGATTCGTCATCATTTCAGTGTCGGAAATCTATGTGTTTACTTACTATTATCCTTTTGGTAATAGCGAGTTTCGACCACACTTTCATCCTTTTGGTGAAGGGTCGTTACATGTGTTTACTATCATCCTTTTGGTTATAGGCCTGTCATCCTTTTGGTGTCGGATATCTCTGTGTTCACTATCATCATTTTGGTGATAGGTCTGTCATTTTTCTTTCAAACTATTTTTCTTAATCAATTTACAAAAGAAAAAGATTCTTTGAGTCTAACATTCCTTGGATCTTCAAATGAATGTCTCTTGGGGCACACGCCTTGGGTTGTTGTTCATCCAACCTCTCATCTTAAAGCATTTAACCATGAATCAAACCATTTTAATCAACTCCCGAAACAACTGAGTTCTTGGAATCTCGTATTCCTTGGATTCTTGAGTGACTACTCTCGAGGCGCGCCCTTTAGGTTGTATGTAATTCAATCTTTCGTTCCTAAAACATAATCTCTTTCGTGGTCATATCCACGAACTACGGATGTTCTGATTCTTCATTCATTTAAATGTAAGATACGTAGGCACAAGATTGTGATGATCTTGGCGAGCTCACTCCCATCTTTTTCCACCTTTCTGCATGTACCTTCCCTCCATCTTCCATTTTTCCAAACCTTTCCTGTAGTTGAACTACGGAATCTTTGATACTTCATTCTCGTCCGAATGAACATACGTAGGCACAAGAGCCCAATCCTTGGCGAGCACCCTAACCTAAAACCACCCATTTCCCCCCTTAGCATCGTTCTTTTTATCTTACCGTTTCACTTTTATCTTTGATAAGAAAACAAACAAGCTTAGATAACGTTCATCATAAATCAAACCTAGAGGTTCCGGTTGAGTACAACGGACATAGAGGGTGCTAATACCTTCCCTTTACGTAACCGACTCCCGAATCCAGAATGTGGTCGGGCCGACCATGTTCTTATCTCTCTAAAAGTTTTCTTGATAGTTTTCTTTCCCTCTTTTGGGATAAATAAAATTCGGCGGTGACTCTGTCAAACCGTTTTTCGCGCCTTTCATGCGAGTGTTGTATTTTCGATTATTATTTTTCAAGGTGGGACAAGTACCATTTGCTATTCGAACAAAAGATCCATCTTGACAAGGAGTGCATTTGGTAAATACATTGATGTCCATAGTCATGTGATTCGATGTGGCAGAATCAAAAATCCGTTGGTTTGTTTTATAGTGATAAACATGAAGGACAGTAGAAAAATTACCTTTTTGCGCAAGATTAGCAGTGGAAGAAGCACTAGTGTTTTGTGTTGCTTGTTGCATCATCTTCTACAACATCTCTATTTGTTCTTTGTTGAAAGGGCTTGCCTCTGCAGTACTTTTGGATTTTCTTTCATCAACAGTAGCAACATATGCGCGTGTATTCTTGAATTGTGGTTTCAGATCCGTGGGTTTCCCGTGAAGCACCCAACATATTTCTTTTGTATGTTCGGGATGCTTGCAGTGATCACACCATCCTCTACCTTTCTTTGGCGGACCTCTTGCTACAAGGGCAGAACCTTCAATGTTTGCACTTTGACTTCTCAACATAACTTTTCTTCTACTTTCTTCCCTTGTTACTTCTGCAAATGCTTCATGAATGCTAGAGAGGGGTTTAGTTCCAAGAACCCTTCCCGTTACTTCATATAAATTTTATTCAATCCCAATAAAATTGATAGATTTTATCCCTCCCTATCAAGTTTTTGTAGATTTTTTCATCCTCCGGACACTTCCGCTCTGTGTCAGCATAGTTGTCGAGTTGCTGCCAATACTTTGTGAGAGTGTGATAGTACTTCGTTACTATAGAGTCTCCTTGTTGAAGGTAATGTAAGCGACTTTTGATTTCAAATATGGCTGAATTGTTATCCACTCATAAAATTTTCTGCAGCATTGCCATAATACATAAAATTTTCATTCCAAATTTCTGCAGCATTTTTCATGGAGTTGAGTAACCATGACATCACTAGACTGTTTTCAAGTTTCCACTTTACATGATTTGAATCAGTCTTTGCTGGCTACTTAGCGTCACCGGTGATGTAATCTTCCTTTCCCTTTCATTGGAGGAAGAGTCAGACAGATCTGGACCAGCGTGTATAATTCTGTCCATTGAGCTTGTAACAAGTAATGAGAATTGTCTCATTATGACTAGTGGTATTTCTAATAGCTGCCTTTGGATCAGCATCTAAGATGCTTGAGTTGTTTGTTTTTTTCTCTATAGAAAAACCCTATTTTGTTTTCTTTCTTTTGGATCAGAACTGTAGTTTTGATCCCATGTAGAAATTTTGTATTTTTTATTAAGTTTGTATCTAATAGAATAGGATATAAATAGTTTAGGAAATACAAGTAACTAAATAAACTAATTAAGTTCTAATTAACTCAAATTAATTCTTATATATAAGAATAAAAATATTTTATATAATTATGTAAATAAATATAAATGTATTCATATAATACATTTATAAAATCTATGTTAATATCGCTTATTAATGACTACATAGCTTTGCTTTAATGGTTGCAGATCAGCAACCAACAACTTATACAATATTTTCTATAAATGATATTTTACAATCAAATCAATGCAAACAATTTCTTAAAATTTATCTGCAAATTCTAGTTCCCATGAAAAATCATTTATTAAGGTAAATTGGCACCAAAATCTTTGAGAATTTGAGATTTTCCATACTCTTGATATGCAATGTTAAACTTATCTGTCGAACTACATAAACATAATCAATAAAAAGCACCAACACCACTAAACAAATAGGTATTTGATATCTAACATGTGTATAATAATTCGACACTGAACAAATGTAATTAATTACATTCAATTTATTTAAATTTTAAAATTATTATTGGTGTCAAACATATTGAACCGTGTGTCCGTGCTTCATAGCACAATCATGTCCTTTATAAATTTATGATCAATCAATTGTTTTTATCTCAAGTTTGTCTGTGAAGAAGAACAATTAGAATGGAGCAAATGATGCAAGACATTGAGGCTCAGACTACCGTGCAGAAGGAAGCATCTAAGATCTTCCACAAGGGAAATGCTCCAGTAACTTTGAAGGTCTTGTGAGTTTAATCTCTTTTTTCATCACACCTTAATTCTAATAATAACATGTCTATTTTTGGTACTGTTTGTTTACATTACTGAAAGAGTTTTATTAATGACCATGCATAGTTTCATGATGTTGTATACAAAGTAAAGGCCAAAAAGAAAGAACAGAGAGTAATACTGAGTGGAGTGACAGGCATGGTTCAACCTGGTGAGATTCTTGCCATTTTGGGTCCATCTGGAAGTGGCAAGACAACTCTGCTAACAGCACTAGGGGGAAGACTTGGAGGGAACCTTTCTGGAACCATAGCTTACAATGGAAAACTCTTTTCAAATTCAATGAAAAAGAGCATTGGATTTGTTACACAAGAGGATATTCTCTATGCTCACTTGACAGTTACAGAAACTTTAGTGTTTACTTCTCTTTTAAGATTACCTAATAGTTTCACAAAACAAGAGAAAATTGAGCATGCGAAATCCGTTATTTCTCTACTTGGTTTAACAAAATGCAAAGATAGCATAATTGGAAAACCAATGTTGAGAGGTGTTTCTGGTGGGGAGAGAAAAAGGGTTAGTATTGGACAAGAGATGCTTATTAATCCAAGTTTATTGTTTTTAGACGAACCTACTTCTGGGTTAGACTCAACAACAGCTCAGAAAATTGTGTCAAATTTATGGGAGCTTGCGATCGGTGGAAGAACTGTTGTGATGACAATACATCAACCTTCAAGTAGGATATATCATATGTTTCATACTGTATTGCTTTTATCAGAAGGAATTCCTTTGTATTATGGAAAGGGTTCTGAAGCTATGGAATATTTCTCTGGTGTTGGATATGAACCCGCAATCGCTATGAACCCTTCTGACTTCCTTCTAGATCTTGCAAATGGTACGTTTCTCCTTGCTCTAGTTGCTTTACATACTTGAGATTTCCTTGTTTTTATCTTTACGAATTACAGGATCAAAAAGATGAAGATTCATAAGTTATACAAAAATTAAGGCTCACTTTTGTTTTCTACTGCAGGAGTTTACACAGATCAATCGAACGAGGATCATGCCTTAAATAAGCAGAAATTGGTTTCTGCTTACAAGAACTACTTTGATGCCAAATGGAAACCGATAATACTTGATGAAAATCCCGACAACGATGAAAGCCAGAGTAGATTTGAAGACAGTGGCTTTGGGAAATGGTCTACCACTTGGTGGCAGCAATTCATTGTTCTGCTAAAAAGAGACCTAAAAGAGAGAAAACATGAACCATTTTCTGCCTTAAGAATCTGTAAGGTCATTGTGATTGCCCTTATAACAGGACTACTTTGGTATAGGTCTAATATTTCACAACTGGGGGATCAGGTAATAAGTATTTTCACTAAATAAATAAGATTTTCAATTCATCTGTTAGGTAAGAAGCATGATTCAATTTTTTGTGTGGATGTAGATTGGTCTTCTATTTTTCATTAATAGCTTCTGGGCTGTGTTGCCATTCTACAAAGCAATATTCACTTTCCCTCAAGAGGCAACTATGTTGGAGAAAGAAAGATCTTCTGGAATGTATAGGCTTTCATCATACTTCATATCTCCAATCATAGTTGACCTTCCTGTGGAGCTTATCCTTCCAACGATATACCTTATCATAATATATTTTATGACAGGGTTGAAACTTAATGTGATAAACTTCTTATACACTTTGCTTACCCTCTTACTCGATGTTTTAGTTTCACAAGGACTAGGCCTTGCCATTGGTGCTATTATTATGGATACAAAATCAGCAATCACACTTGGTTCAATCATCTTGCTTAGTTTTGTGCTGGCTGTTGGATTCTATGTTCGACATGTTCCGAATTTTATAGCATGGATTAAGTACATTTCCATCAACTACTACATATACAAGTTGTTCTTAGGATCTCAGTATGACACTAACGAAACCTACCCGTGTTCTAATGGGAAGTGTTTGATTTCAGAGTTTCCGTTGATAAAGCAAATGGGAGAATTACATTTGCAAGGGCAGCTCATGGCTTTGTTGGCTCTATTCATAATGCTAATAGGTTATAGAGTTATGGCTTATTTTGCTCTTACGAGGATTGGAGTGACAAAGAAGATTCCTACCTGACTCTAATATAATCTAGTAACTGCTAGAATTTCAGACTTTTCTAAATGACTTTGAAGTTGTAATATGTCTATTTAACTTTTTATTGAAGTTGCCATGGATGTATGGTTAGGACTTGGGAGTGCAGGTAAAAAGTAGCATAGTTACTTCTTTGTCAAAAAACCTCTTGCTCTCCTATTCTTGTGCTCTACTACCTTTCTGGTTAATCTATTGTTCTCTCTTACAAATATATATGTTGTTGTTTATGTTTTTCAAACATGGTAACAGAGTTTCAATAATATTATGGGGGTTACGAGGGAAACGAAATCACTAACAACTTTTATTTGATAGACAATAAGCAAGAAAACTTCCTTAAAAAACTTCCATTAAAAAAACTTCAAATACCATACTAACTTCTAGTGAAACGTCCCACGTCTTTAAAGAGATGTACTGGGCTGAACTTTTAAAAGATTATTTTGACAAGAAAAAGTAGTAACAACTGTAATAAATTTGAAAATCAATTTACTATTTATGACAATTAAAGTCACGGCATCAACTCAATTTAATCATAACTATATACATATCATTTACATAGTTTTTATGTGGAACACACAATACTTTAACAATATTTTTATTAATCATTTAAAAAATATATTTATCAATTAAACATTTAATTTGTTAGAACTTTGAACCATAAGATTGATAAATAATGGAGAAAATGTTATAGAGAGAGAGAAAAATATTATCATTTTACTTGAGATGAAAATGCCTCAAAGATATTATACAAGTGTTATAAAGTAATTGAGACTCAAAACATACAAGTAAACAACTGAAAAACACATAACACGGGCTTGTAACCGATTACACCAAACTTATAGTTGGTTAATACTTTCAGTGGTAACCGATTAACCGCAGGTTAACTAGATAAAACTTAGATATTTTACCTTGTTCTTTAGTCTATAAGTGCTTTTACTTTTGCTATAACTGGTTACACCCCCGTGTTAATCGGTTACAGCACTTGAATTACTCAAAATACTTTTAAAATACTACATTAATTCAAATGCTCCAAGTCTTCCATACTCATGTTCATCTTCAACCTGTTGAACACATCATGTGTGACTCCTTTAGTCAACAAATCAGCCACTTGGTTTTCACTTTTGCACTATCCCAATCTTAACCTTACTTCACTAACAAGTTCTCTCAAGTAGTAAAACCTCATCTCAATTTGCTTTCTCCTCCCATGTGCAATTGGGTTCTTAGCAAAATTAATCGCGAAAACGTTGTCAACCAGAAGTGTAACCGTCTCACTCACATTGCTGCACAACTCCTCCAATAGTTTCATAAGCCACATGGCTTGACACACACATAACAAAGTGACAATATACTCTGCCTCAGAAGACGAGACTGCAACTGTCAATTTCTTCTTCGAACACCATGAATCTACTCACAATACCGACACTAAACGCCAAGTTCGGTCGAGTATTGCATTAGTAACATAGGGATCCAATCATCCCCCTATATTGAGGTCGATCAACATTCTGCTCATCCTTATTCTTTGACAATTGCAACCTTGGTTCATCCAGAGTAATGGAAGCATTACAATGCTCTATTTCAAACAAATTCAATATCTCAAGTGCATATATTCTTTGGTGCATGACTTGTCCCCTTTTGGACTTGTGAAACTCAATGGCAATGAAGTATGTCATGAGGGCATGTTCGATAATCTCAAATTCTTTCATAAGTTCACCCTTGAACTTAGAAATTCACTTTTCGTTGCTACACGTTATCAACAATTCGTCTACACATAGACAAAGGATAACCACTCTTTCACTCGTATTCGTCTTCGCATACACTCCATGTCCGGATACACATTTCTTGAAGTCAACTTCCTTCAGGAAACCATGTATTCTTTTGTTCCAAACTCTTCGAGCTTGATTTAAACCATATAACAATTTCTTCAACTTGTAGAACTTTAGATCTTAGTTTCTCACAACAAAACTAGGGGATTGTTCTACGTATACCTTTTCTTCAAGCGGTTTGTTCAAAAATGAAAATTTGACGTCCGTTTGGTATATGGGTCAATTGTTGTTGTTCGCAATACCAACAACTAGCCTTATGGTTTCACTCCTAGCAACCGGTGCAAATACCTCTTCAAAGTATATGCCTTATCTTTGCAACTAATCGAGCCATATGCTTGATTTTTTCACCATTGGTATTTGCCTTTACTTTGAAAACCTTTTTTCCACCAATTGACTTCTTTCCATCTAGTAGATCAATCAACTTGTAGTATTATCCTTCTCAATAGATTCCAGCTTCTCCTTTATTGCACAAATCCATTTTGGATCACTTAAAGCCAATTCCATTTTAACAGCTTCGCTTTCGGCCGTAAGTACAAAATGGACGAAATCACCATCATCATTGACTTCGTTGTCTCAGAACAGCTCATAATCTTGTAGTCTTTGAGCCAAACCTCTTTTCCTTGTTGATCTTCTAACATTCTCTTCAATTTGGGATTTAGCAACGAGAGTTTTTGTTGTTTTCGTTTCTTCAGAATCAGAATTTTTAAAGTTATAATCGGTTACAGGTTGTGGCAGCTCCTTGATTTCGTCGACAATAACGCCTCGGCTGATCACAACCCTCCTCTTTGTTGCAAAAAATAACTTGTAAACACCAGTAGAGTGATATCCTACAAGTATTATCATTTCTCCTTTATTATCCAACTTCTTTCTAAGCTACCCTAGAACATGTTGATACGCTACAGAACCAAAAACTCTCATATGGTTCAAATTCGGTTTGAATCCCGACCATGCTTCCTCCGGTGTTGCCTTATTAAGCTTCTTTATTGGAAACCTATTCAATAAATAGGCAGATTTGGATACTGCTTCTCCCCATAACTCTTTCAACAAGTTCTTCCCCTTTAACATGCTTCTTACCGTGTTCATGATCGATCAATTCTACCTTTTCGAAACACCATTTTACTGCGGTGTATAAGGTGGTACTATGTAATGTACTAATGTACACTCCCTTCTTGATTACAAAACCTCTCAAAGTTTTTTTAGTCATATTCGCCTCCATCATCATTGACTTCGTTGTTTCGAAAAAGCTCACAATCTTGGAAAAGCAAACCTATCTTCCTTGTAGATTTTCTCACATTATCTTCAACTGGGGCTTTGACGAAGGGCGTTTTTGCACATCCTAATTCTGTAGAATCTGAATTTTCAAAGTTGTAATTGGTTACAACTTTTACGTAACCGGTTACAGGCTGCTGCAATGGCTTCATCTTGTCAAAAACGACATCTTGGATGATCAAAACCCTCATACTTGCTGCATGATAGCGTTTGTAACCACCAGTGGAGTGATACCTTACAAGTATCATCATTTCTCCCTTATCATGCGGCTTCTGTCTAAGCTACCCCGAAACATGTCGATACGCTACAGAACCAAAACTTCTCAAATAGTTCAGATTCAATTTAAATCCCAACCATGCTTCCTCTGGTGTTACCTTCTCAAGCTTATTTGTAGGACACCTATTTAACAAATAGGCAGTTGTGAATACTACTTCTCCCCATAAATCTTTCAGAAAGTTCTTCCCTTTTAACATGCTTCTTACCATGTTTAAGATCGATTGATTCTTCCATTTGTCACACCATTTTTCTGTGGTGTATAAGGTGGTATAAAATCTCTCAAAGTCTTTTGAGAGATATTCGCCTCCACCATGCGTTTTAAGCACTTTGAACTTGTGATAGTTTTTCCTCTCAGCCATGGACTTGAACTTCTTAAACACTTAAAATACCTCATTTTTTTTTCTCTTTATTAAGTATGTCCATAACTTTCTACTATGATCGTCAACGAATATGACAAAATATCTATTGCCAACGTTAGAATTTACTTGCATCGGTCCATGCGCATACAGATACACCACATCAAGGTGATTCTTAGTTCTACGGTCTGCATCCTTGCTTAATTTACCCTTATGTTGCTTCGCTTGCACACATTCTTCACCAATTTCAGCATGTATGTTTATCAATGGTAACCCCATTACCATTCCGTTCTTTTGCAAGTCTTTGAGATCTTAGGAGTTGAGATGCCCAAGATGATATTGCCATATCCACTCTTCTCAACTTGACATTTTAGCAAGACATATATGCTCCATAACCTTCAACTCAACCTTGAAGTTTATATTGGAAGCTATAAGAGCTTTAAGGACCAAAACCATGTTTGCAACCATAACTCAAATCCAATTGTTTTCCATGTGAATCTGGTAACCCATCTCAAGCAATTGGCTAATACTTAGAAGGTTGCATTTGATTCCTGGAATGTATAATGCATCTTTGAGGAATATCAACCATGCACTCTCATGATCAAAATATCACCGAATCCATCGACCGATAGAGTATCATCCATGAAATTCACTTTTTTCTTCATGGCACAATTAATTTTAACAAACTAATCCTTCCTTCCTATCATATGAGTAGAACAACCCGGGTACAAATATCATCCTCGCTACACTAAACTCCTTTCATACTCATCATGGAATTTTCTTCTCCATATAACTGATTACCCATTTCATGTAACTGGTTATAACTTATTTTTGCAACAATCACCAAATTTCTACTGTTGTTGTCCTATAGTCTGTTGTTACTGCAATTTCCTTCTGTGATCATGACCAAGAGTGTATTCTTTTCATCAAACTCTTGTCTTGAAACCTTGGCTTCATATCCTTGAGGCTCCTTCTTGTTTGTATTGCACTCTTTTGCAAAATGACTGAACCTTTGACACCTAAAGCTCTGCTCCTTTCTTTTGACAAACTTATTCTTTTCACCTCTAAAGTTTTCTTGACCACCATTTTTGTTGCAGGTGCTCTCACCCCTTTGACAAGTCTAATTCTTGGAATTTTGGGACACTCTTCCATCAAAATTATGAAAATTCCCTTTACTCTTTATGGGGAACTTTCCTTTCGTTCTCTTGCCCTTCTCATTGAACGAGCTTACAAAGGAATCTCCACTTTTGCCTTATCATTATTT